CCACAGGCCTAACGCTAATTCTAGAGTACCTCCCGTGGCTGAGACCTACACACACAGATCTCCTGACTCCGGTCTCAGAGGGGACTTACCCACACTCCTACCGCTAATTCTAGAGTACCTCCTGTGGCTGAGACCTACACACACAGATCCTCTGACTCCGGTGTTTGGCGGGGACTTACCCACAGGCCTACCGCTAATTCTAGAGTACCTCGCGTGGCTGAGACCTACACACACAGATCTACTGACTCCGGTCTCAGCGGGGACTTACCCACAGGCCTATCGCTAATTCTAGAGTACCTCGCGTGGCTGGGACCTACACACACAGATCTACTGACTCCGGTCTCAGCGGGGACTTACCCACAGGCCTACCGCTAATTCTAGAGTACCAGCGGCTGAGAACTACTCACACAGATCTCCTGATTCCGGTCTCAGCGGGGACTTACCCACAGGCCTACCGCTAATTCTAGAGGTACTCCCACTGAGATCTACACACACAGATCTCCTGACTCCGGTCTCAGCGGGGACCTACCCACAGGCCTATCGCTAATTCTAGAGTACCTCGCGTGTCTGGGACCTACACACACAGATCTACTGACTCCGGTCTCAGCGGGGACTTACCCACAGGCCTATCGCTAATTCTAGAGTACCAGCGGCTGAGACCTACTCACACAGATCTCCTGATTCCGGTCTCAGCGGGGACTTACCCACAGGCCTACCGCTAACTCTAGAGTACCTCGCGTGGCTGGGATGTAGACACACAGATCTACTGACTCCGGTGTTTGGCGGGGACTTACCCACAGGCCTACCGCTAATTCTAGAGTACCAGCGGCTGAGACCTACTCACACAGATCTCCTGATTCCGGTCTCAGCGGGGACTTACCCACAGGCCTACCGCTAATTCTAGAGTACTCCTACTGGGACCTACACACACAGATCTATTGACTCCGGTCTCAGCGCGGACTTACCCACAGGCCTACCGCTAATTCTAGAGTACCTCCCGTGGCTGGGACCTACACACACAGATCTCCTGACTCCGGTCTCAGCGGGGACTTACCCACAGTCCTACCGCTAATTCTAGAGTACCTCGCGTGGCTGAGACCTACACACACAGATCTCCTGACTCCGGTCTCAGCGGGAACTTACCCACAGGCCTACCGCTAATTCTAGAGTACCTCGCGTGGCTGGGACCTACACACACAGATCCTCTGACTCCGGTCTCAGCGGGAACTTACCCACAGGCCTACCGCTAATTCTAGAGTACCTCCCGTGGCTGAGACCTACACACACAGATCTCCTGACTCCGGTCTCAGCGGGGACTTACCCACAGGCCTACCGCTAATTCTAGAGTACCTACGGCTGGGACCTACAAACACAGATCCTGTGACTCCGGTGTTTGGCGGGGACTTACCCACAGGCCTACCGCTAATTCTAGAGTACCTCCAACTGGGACCTACACACACAGATCTCCTGACTCCGGTCTCAGCGGGAACTTACCCACAGGCCTACCGCTAATTCTAGAGTACTCCAACTGAGACCTACACACACAGATCTCCTGACTCCGGTCTCAGCGGGGACTTACCCACAGGCCTACCACTAATTCTAGAGTACCTCCTGTGTCTGAGACCTACACACACAGATCTCCTGACTCCGGTCTCAGCGGGGACGTACCCACAGGCCTACCGCTAATTCTAGAGTACCTCGCGTGGCTGGGACCTACACACACAGATCTCCTGACTCCGATCTCAGCGGGGACTTACCCACACTCCTACCGCAAATTCTAGAGTACTCCTACTGGGACCTACTCACACAGATCTCCTGACTCCGGTCTCAGCGGGGACTTAGCCACAGGCCTACCGCTCATTCTAGAGTACTCCTACTGGGACCTACACACACAGATCTATTGACTCCGGTTTCAGCGGGGACTTAGCCACAGGCCTACCGCTAATTCTAGAGTACCTCGCGTGGCTGAGACCTACACACACAGATCTCCTGACTCCGGTCTCAGCGGGGACTTACCCACACGCCTACCGCTAATTCTAGAGTACCTCGCGTGTCTGAGACCTACACACACAGATCTCCTGACTCCGGTCTCAGGGGGACTTACCCACAGGCCTACCGCTAATTCTAGAGTACTCCTACTGGGACCTACACACACAGATCTCCTGACTCCGGTCTCAGCGGGGACTTACCCACAGGCCTATCGCTAATTCTAGAGTACCTCCGGCCTCAGACCTACACACACAGATCTCCTGATTCTGGTCTCAGCGGTGACTTACCCACAGGCCTACCGCTAACTCTAGAGTACCTCGGGTGGCTGAGACCTACACACAAAGATCTCCTGACTCCGGTCTCAGCGGGGACTTACCCACACTCCTACCGCTAATTCTAGAGTACCAGCGGCTGAGACCTACACACACAGATCTCCTGACTCCGGTCTCAGCGGGGACTCACCCACAGGCCTACCGCTAATTCTAGAGTACCTCCGGTGGCTGAGACCTACACACACAGATCTATTGACTCCGGTCTCAGGGGGACTTACCCACAGGCCTACCGCTAATTCTAGAGTACCTCGCGTGGCTGGGACCTACACACACAGATCTCCTGACTCCGGTCTCAGAGGGGACTTACCCACAGGCCTACCGCTAATTCTAGAGTACCTCCGGTGGCTGGGACCTACACACACAGATCTCCTGACTCCGGTCTCAGCGGGGAACTTACCCACAGGCCTACCGCTAATTCTAGAGTACCTCGCGTGGCTGAGACCTACACACACAGATCCTCTGACTCCGGTGTTTGGCGGGGACTTACCCACAGGCCTACCGCTAATTCTAGAGTATCAGCGGCTGGGACCTACACAGACAGATCTTCTGACTCTGGTGTTGGTGGAGGGGTTACCAGCCCCTCGCACCCGGCCAGAGCCCCCGTTTAGCCCCTGTGGTGGACACAGACGCCATGAGGGGAGGAGCCAATCAAAATTGGATCTCCCCCCACAGCATTGTCCACAAGAAAGTTGCCCGTCCGGCACTGCGAAGAGGTAGGGGGTTGTTTTTGCCCGACAATCATCACCACCACCACCATCACCACCATCAACATCACCACCATCACCACCACCATCAAAATCACCGCCACCACCACCACCACCACCACCACCATCACCACCACCATCACCACCATCACCACCACCACCACCACCACGACCACCACCACCATCACCACCATCACCACCACCATCACCACCACCATCACCACCACCATCACCATCATCACCACCACCACCATCACCATCACCACCATCACCACCACTAGCACCACCACCACCATCACCACCACCACCACCACTACACCACCACCACCACCATCACCACCATCAACATCACCACCATCACCACCACCATCAAAATCACCACCACCACCACCATCACCACCATCACCACCACCATCACCATCATCACCACCACCATCACCACCATCACCACCACCATCACCACCACCATCACCACCACCATCACCATCATCACCACCACCATCACCACCACCACCACTACACCACCACCACCATCACCACCACCACCATCACCACCATCACCACCACCATCACCACCACCATCACCACCACCATCACCATCATCACCACCACCACCACCATCACCACCACTACCACCACCACCACCACCACCATCACCACCACCACCATCACCACTACACCACCACCACCACCACCGCCATCACCACCACCACCACCACTACACCACCACCACCACCACCACCGCCATCACCACCACCATCACCACCACCACCACCATCACCACCATCACCACCACCATCACCACTACCACCACTACACCACCACCACCACCACCACCGCCATCACCACCACCATCACCACCACCACCATCATCACCATCATCACCACCACCACCACTACACCACCACCACCACCCCCATCACCACCACTACACCACCACCACCACCATCATCACCATCACCACCATCACCACCATCACCACCACCACCACCATCATCACCATCACCACCACTACACCACCACCACCACCACCATCATCACCATCACCACCACTACACCACCACCACCAGCACCACCATCATCACCATCACTACCATCACTACCACCACTACCATCACCACCATCACCACCATCACCATCACCACCACCACCAGCACCACCACCACCACCACCAGCACCACCACCACCACCATCACCACCACCACCACTACCATCACCACCATCACCACCATCACCACCATCAACACCACCATCACTACTACCATCACCACCACCACCACCACCATCACCACCACCACCACCACTACACCACCACCATCACCACAACCATCACCACCATCACCACCACTACCACCACCATCACCACCATCACCACCATCACCACCCCCATCACCACCACCATCACCACCACCACCACCATCACCACCACCACCACCATCACCACCACCACCACCACCACCACCACAACCACCACCATCACCACCACCACCACCATCACCACCACCACCACCATCACCACCACCACCACCACCACCACAACCACCACCATCACCACTACCACCACCATCACCACCATCATCACCACCACCACCACCATCACCACCACCACCACCATCACCACCACCACCACCATCACCACCACCACCACCATCACCACCACCACCACTACCACCCCCATCACCACCACCATCACCACCACCACCACCATCACCACCACCACCACCATCACCACCACCACCACCATCACCACCACCACCACTACCACCACCATCACCACCACCATCACCACCATCACCACCACCATCACCACCATCACCACCATCACCACCACCACCATCACCACCATCACCACCATCACCACCACCATCACCACCACCATCCCCACCACCATCAACATCACCACCACCACCATCACCACCACCACCATCACCACCATCATCACCACCACCACCACCACTACACCACGTGACGTTACCTGGTCGCACCACGTGATGGTTCATGGCCCTGCGATCCGAGACCCGTGGCCTCTGCCCTCACTACACAGAGAGAGGCAAAGAACCCCCAGGTAGCGTCAGCAGACAGCAGGGGCAAGTGCAGTTACACAGACACACACTCACACACTCACTCATACACTGACTCACACACTAACTGACTAACACACTCACACACACACTCACACACACACTCACACACTCACTCATACACTCACTCACTCACGCACCCACCCATCACTCACTCACTCACTCACCCACTCACTCACACACTCACTCACACACTCACCCATTCACTCAATCACACACTCACTCACACACTCACTCACACACTCACTCACACACTCACCCACTCACTCACACACTCACCCACTCACTCACTCACACACTCACTCACACACTCACTCACACACTCACTCACACACACACTCACTCACACACTCACACACTCACTCACTTATTCACTCACACACTCACTCACACAGTCACTCACTCAGTCACTCACTCACCCACTCACTCACTCACTAACTCACCAACACACATTCACCTACTTACACACTCACTCATACACTAACTCACACACTCACTCTCTCACCCACACACTCACTCACACACTCACTCACTCAACCACCCACTCACTCACTCACTCACCCACTTACTCACCCACACACTCACTCACACACTCACTCACTCACTCACCCACTCACCCACTCACTCACAGACTCACTCAACCACCCACTCACTCACTCACACACTCACTAACTCACTAACTCA